GTACTCCGATACTGAAAATGCGGTAGTTACTACGCAAATGGGTTCAATGTGCTTGTTTCTGCATATCTTTGCATAGCGACGGTTAGATTACAATGCGATTTCCTTTGAACCGCAACCAGTCATCCACCGTGAGTTCGTCCCGAATATTGAAATATAACGTTAATTGTTTTAGTTGTTCTTTGGACCAGGTCATGAACACAAAAACACGCCCCACAAGGCCCCACAAGTAGCTTCTGTCTCCGTATGACGCCTTATCTCTCTCAGTCAAATCGTTAATGCCAGCCGTTGTACCAGAGTGACTGCTGTGAGTTCTTCTTGTTTGTTTTTGTCTATCGGAGAATGAGCACTTGACACAGCGTTCGCGATGAACATCTGCATCCCCGGGATGTACACTAGGTCTATGATGCATTTCTGCAGCCTGAGAAGCAGTTGCGGAATAAGTCGAGTGACACTGTGCAACCATCTACTGGCTATAGATCTCAACAGTTTATGGTCACTATACGCCGTAGACTTCCTCTCGTAGGTCAAATCGTTGACTCGTTCCATCGCATAGAAGACAGCGAGCATCTCTATCGCGATCTGTGCATAAGGCTGTTCAGCAGCCATGAGTCCCCGACTGCGAAATTCCAAGGGTTTATCCTCTTGTATGAGAAGGGCGTTTATTCTGCTCCGGTGGCTATCACACTGCGCCTGCAAATGCAGAGGTGGATCGGAATAAAAGAGTGCTGCTGCACCGGTGAGCGGATGCTTGATGGGTATACAAGCGACATATTGCTCTTTTCCGCAACTGCTTTCTTAGTCAGTCTCTTGATGGACGGCATAATTCCAGCAAGTGTCGGCAAGAATCGACCAAAATAACTCACAGTCACATTACAGTGACATTGAAACGGCTAACAATTTTTTATCTACCTAGGTTGTGGCACCTTTAGTACAGCCTAGTTTCTTCCGAGGTCGATCGTTATTTCTTCGGATGTCAGGACGTGCCCGTGTACAATCACTTCCGGTTTCCTGTGCTCAAGTTTCTAGCTTTTGAGCTTTAAATTCTTTTGAGAGCAAGGCTAAACAACGTGATGCGAATTGGCGTCATGCTCCTTGTTGGTCGAGCGCTAAATCAGTAGAACGTCTGCTACACAATTTCCACCGTCTGGACCTTCAACCAATTACAATAACGAATTCTGAAAAATTTACTCGAAACCTTTAAACCAAACGGTAAACATAGCCATCAAAAACGTTTAAGGTGCGGCCGGCGTCGTTAAGGATCTGGATTCTTCTTCTGGGACCAACTGACAAAACGCCGATGACTGCTCAATACTAGTGAATTAATTTGTCTTGGCCAAACCTGGCAGGACATATCCTTACGTTGGCAGAGTACAGTGTGATCTAGGTAAAGCTTCTTTCAATGGCTTAACAACAATGCACAGACGCAAATCACGGTTTATTTTCGTAGCAATCGCAACTTCGCTAATCCAGTCTCTTGGCTTGTCGACCTTATCTATTACGTCCAACTGCATCAAGTTAAATAACTCGGTGGCGAATTAGTCACCTAAAGCAAACTAAACCCATCTACTCGGAATCGCAGTCAGTAGTATAGACGGATCCAGTTATGAATGAACGGATACTTGAAACGTCCCTGTACTATGACTAAACACGAACGGAAACTATTAACCTTACGATTAACATAGCAATGCCAAGCCACTGGATAAAATCGATGCAGCGAAGCGACGTAATTTCTTCCGCCACGATCAGGACTTCTGACAGATATAAAGAGCCCTCTTGGGCTTGATCACATTGCTTGTGGCCATAACATTAGCTGGATTTTGTAATTGTCCAGTATGAGCAAGGATGGCTTATCAGGTTGCACATGTATTCCTGAGCATCGATTCGCAGGTACTATGTTGATGGTAGCGCCCGTAAATTGGGAATCCACGATTTCGTAACCTACCAAAAAACCTGCGTAGACGCGACACCATGCTGATCAAATGTCCGGAGTCGGACGGTGATGTGACACGGTTGAGTGCACTCACGTTAGAAGACTAGTAGCGTCAAGCGAAATGATTTCGTCTACCCTATTTATCGCAACCTTGACGCCAAGCCAGACATTGATCACGAGCTTTTGGGTGTCATGCGGCGCAAAATTTGCAAGTTTCTTGTGTCTTGGTAACAGCCATCGTAGTTTTTACACACAAGCTAAATAAGGCACACAGCTCTGTATCGGAACACAACCGCATGTGCTGGATGTGTCGTGCATCTGACGAGTAACCGAAGCACAAATCAAGTCACTGTCTGTGCGATAAGTGTTTTTTCCACAATATCCGACTGGTGATGTTTTTCTCATTGGTCTCCAGCACGTCTGTCTCGGATGAAACTGTCATTCTTACAATTGCAAAATCTACAGGAACGAGCAAAGCATCTTAGATCTGTTTATTGGTGCTTGACATATTCATTCTGGCCCCTGGTTGGAGTAAATAAGAGATAGTGCTGACACATCTCGTTTGTCTGGCCCTCGCCGAAATCGTCCATGTTTGGGATGACTCCTTCCAGACCCGCTGGTTCTACGTCATTTTACTGCATCATTTCCAGGACGCGGTGTGCTTCATCACCGATCGTATATCGAAATAATGCCGGGTGATCAGGCCATCGGTTCTTCATTCAGGACGCACTTGTACGCAAGAATCCATCCACTTGTTCTTCCAGCTTCTCCAACTACCGACCAAGTTGCGTTATTTCATATACAAAGGTGAAGGCTATGCACAGCTATATGCGCTCCATGTAAAAACTGATCACAGTCCCGTGATTTTGTTTGGCATTCTCTGACATCATGACGCAGAACTGGCTACTTCAGTGACGAACGGTTACTTTGAAATAACAAGCCCAGCATTATGGCAACATAATCAGCATATAGAAAAAGCGATGTAAATAACTACGTTCAATCCATAAATAGCGGCGCTATGGCATTCAAGGGAATTTTTCTTTGAATGAGTTAAACAAACCTGCTCTACTTTAGCCAAAAAGAACCAATGGGTGCGCAGGCGAAATAGCCGTAGGCTAGTAAACCACTGCTATGTTCGACTGCCGCAAGTTAGCCACTTGCATCACCAAGTCAATCCGTATACTTCTACTGTTTGAACGATTCCTTTACACTCACCATGTGAACGCATATCATTATCACTACAGGTCAATCTGCTATGGTGACAAACTGTCAATGGTGACTACCTGTCTATTACGATAAACTAAAATCATCCCCCAGGATTTCTCCTATGAGCAGTGTTCATATAAATGAATCTGTCCATCTGTCTAAGGCTAACACTGTCGGCCCCTTGAGTGGTCGACTTAGACAGGGTAGACTGCAAAAAGTTTTAAGGAAGTAGCCGTTTAGATAATGCTAAAACTCGGACAGTGAATCTCAACCAATTGCTGGCCAGGTTGATGGAAGCGGTCATCGTCAAATCTCTGGGGAAATACCTGACAAAATACAGAGTCTTGACACTGAAACAGTATGACTTTCTTTAACATCGGTCGTACACAGCCAGTCTGTTGATGCTCTCATGTGCTTGGACAAAATGATCGATGATGGAGTCGGAATCGACCACATCAATTGATACATCCGTTAAGTTTTCGACTACCTGCGTCACCGCATCATACTTCAGAGGCCACAGAGCTATAAAAGCTGAGACCCTATTCTGCGCTAGATTGCAAATTCTGTTCAGCAACGAAGGCTTCACTTGCGTACTTATAGATAACTATCCAACTGTTTGGAGGAGGAATGTAGGATTTCACACTCTCGAAGCTGCAAACGTTCCAGTTGCTATAGTTTATCAGATAGCTGACAAAAGTTGTCTAATCCAATTTCCTTTCGACGATGAGATTAAAATATGAATATCGATTAATCTTAAGGAAGATAACGATTTCTTCCAGCATGGTCTAAGTTCAAAAGACGGAATGCCCCGAAGAACATACCCAATTTCAACCCCCATAAGTGTAAGGTGATCCACTTGCGTCGTCAGCCAGTGATCTTTTACAAGCTTGGAGACCACACATTGCAGTAAGCCATCCAGTAGTGTGACCTGGTTTCACTGGTATTAGACGATCACAGATGCTCGAAATAAGCACGGGACGCCCAGAGATCCGCCAATCAACACATTGGCATCTTACCCAGACAGTTTGGATGATCTGACGTTTAAATCTTCCTACAATTGCCAAAGGCCTATGTTCGACCCGATGTGGAATATGTCAACCAAGCGTGGTTCCCGTGGATTTCGTTGTTTTCAAAATTCCTAAATGAAGAGCCATCAAGAGGCTTCTATCGCCTGTCCAAACAGCTTAATTGGAATCCATCGGAATGCCTTGCAATTGATGCTGCAGTTTAAAGAGGAACCTAATATTGCTTCACTAGATTCAAAAGAACCTAGGCGGTATTTGTCGTTCGTTGCCTGGATTGAACCCCAAAACAAAAATAATAGGTCATAATATGAAACTTAACATACAAAATGGCACGGAGAAATGCTATTAACATTGCAATTAATTTGATTGTGTCAGAGAGAAAGCGCTATCTAAAACAATGTCGATTTTGCTCTTAAATTAGCAATATATAAATCCAAATTGAAAACCATTCTCAAACCCGATTTTCGTTATAAGCGTTTGAGGCGCTACATAACGCATACAAACAATGTGTTACAAAATTCACCCAGTGCATTTAAGGACTACAAATTTCATCGTGCAAAAGTCTCGGCTACTGAAACCTATCCAATTTGAGTCCAACAAAAATCTTCACATTTCATCAAGGAACATAAATATCATGTATTCCCATCACAAGGGAATGGACAGGTTATGCAATCTTAGTCTTAGCACGCCAATGTACGATGGTTCCATTGTATATGAAACCAAAGTCAACACGGAGCAATTTAATCATCTGAAATGATGCTGCACAGCTCAAAATGATTGCGCTGAATACATATTGAAATTTCAATTATCAGTCGACCAAGATAGTCAAGTATTGTTACCTTAAGTGCAGCTTGCTCGCAAGCAATACAAATGGGTTTCGGATTTTTGTGTTCTGCCACTATGTGATCCTCTTCAACAGGTACTTTTGACTCTGTGTCCTCATCCGAATGGCGCTCATTGCATTTGACCACTTGAGGTTGTGTGCGCTTTTCATGTTCACAGCTGACTTCAGGACTGGCAGTTGAGTGTTTCAAAGTATCTATCATGCAGCTGGCTAGCATTTTCTGAATTGGAGTGAGGGGAACAAAATTCTCAATATGGACGTCGTTTGAGTAACACAGGGTAATTAAAATGAATTGATTCGGTTGCTTGTCAGCTTCATCAAATTTCCGTATGGTAAAACACTCAGCAGCTTGGCTTGACCACTGATACTCATCTTAGGGATTTGTTATGGTGTATATTGTGCGTTGGTCACATAATGCAGCGGTTTGCTTTGTATTAGATTTTGGTACAATACACCGGATTACATGTTGACTTACAATCCCACTAAATACGACGAAGGTTGAAAAAGCAAATTGCATTATGTTCCTTCTAAACCTACGTTACCTCCAGCGTAACTGGTCAATCAAATTTGTTCAAGTGTTTGCGTTTGTCAGGCGCACAGTTTGTTCTGTAACCAGGTGTACTTGCAACGGATGCATCACGCGCCACTAAATTTACCGAATGAAAGATAAATTTTCCTTATGATGTGGGTCACTGCTCTACCAACCACAAGTAAATAGCACACAATAATCCGCCTCGCACTAAATGATCATGGAGAAATCAGTGCTCTGATTGCGACATCACCGTACACATCACATTGGAACATTGGAACATTGTATTTAATGGGAAGAAAAGCTCGAGATTTACATGACCCACAGGGTCGGGTCTGATGAATAGCCAAGCAACTTTATAGCGTTTTGGACTCGCGCGTGAGCCGTATCTTCATTGGACTTAGGCTGAATTATGAGATTGCACGCCGGCTCAATGCGTGACATCCCAGCACGCACTCCGAAACGGCTAAGTAGAAACGGCTATAGAAAATTGAAGAGAAACTCCATCAAGTAGTAGATTTCTCAGGGAATTTCGCGGTGTAGCTCGGCCCGATGACAGTCCATGCGGGTCTTAAAATCCGCCATTGTGGGTGCCAAGACTAAATCGGCAGGCAGAGCATCCCACGATCGGCAGATTAGAAAAGCGAAGTAGTGTCATCCGCAGTTTATCCGACTGTGCTGACATGTGAGCCTCAGTGGATGGCAAACTAGGTGGGAGCACGATTGGTGCAGTGTGAGTAGGTGGCGACAGGGATCTCCAGTGTTGGCTAAGATCATAAATACAAGGATCTGGTCGCCTCGGGGACATCGGCACTTAAGCGAGTAGAGGCCAATGCAGTGAAGTCGTTGTGGATAATCTAGGTGCAAGTGACCTCGGACAAGTTATGTTGTTCGACATTGTGGGGTTTAGAGTCTACGTTGGTCCTTCAGCAACCAGGGGGTCAAAGCCTGAATAGCGCATATCATTGAGTGAATCGGTTTAAGAATTCGGTAACCGTTGGTTCTGTGCCAGAATTTTCGATGCGGTGAGCACGAGGTTTTTGCAATATGCATCAAACTAATTCAGCAGACTGAGCACATTAGTTGTACCGTCTGTGTCTTGGTTACTATGGCCTAATAACACGCAATTTTGTCGGTGCCTCGAAGCTATACATCTACCACTTCGCCTGGTATTTTCCAACCTACTTCATCCTTTTACAAGTAATATGGTTGCTATCCAAGTGAGCATTTTCATTACATTGTCATCTTTCGAAGGTTTGCCCGATTCCACTAAAAGCTTTATTTCTCCTAATCAAATAATTTGTCACGACCACTTGCAAGCCTTGACACATGAACTATGAAGATAAAGTAGGTCTGCATTTACTGTTGCTTTTTATACTCTGATTTTAGTTTTCTCATTTCGCTCATTTAAACCAAATTTACTGGTAATGCTTTTCTTGACACGCATTCCTCCGCATTAAATTGGAGTTATCGTCTTGTTGTTGTGAATATAAACTTCCGGGTGCTGGCGCCCAATATGCTGCAGATCTTCTCTAACAGTTAATCCGTGTTTAAATCATTTGCTTTTATACTCTATATTTTCGCTCTCAAATCAAAGAAATTGCTCTGAATTTTTATTCCTATGTTTTGGTTGCATTTGTGTTCGTGCGGCTTCTTTTTTTGGTTCCGTTCCTTTTGTAATACACAATAATTTCGGAACAGGTTATTTACCATAAACGGTTTATTATCTTTTTATTCTCTAGCCATGTTGACAGGAAACGACGCTTGACATAAACAAACGCAGCAATCAGACTCACCAACTCAAGTACGACGCATTCTGAATATTCCTGATTAAATAAAAACCAACATTCATACAACTGTGGCTTACGCGCCTTGGTGTGTTTTAATGGTAACTAGATAGATGATGTAATAAGAAAATCTAGCTGCACTTCACGATCGGCCATAAAGCGGGCTAACATGAAAATCAGTTTTCTTTTATTAATCAGCTGAATTCAGCTCAGAGATCAACCACACATATACCGAATTACCAATATTCTACACGTAGTAATCATTTTTCTAGCCATATTCTTAATTTTGAGTAATTGTTTAAATAGTATGAAATGATATGCCCGTTTATGTACACACATGATCACATGTCATCTAAGTGCAGTTTGCCGCTATCTTGCGATCATATTATTTTAAGAAGTAGAGAATATCCGTAGCTTGTAATTTGGATGTGGGTTTTGTACTGCTTTCCCAGCTGAACGATTACTTTTCAGACGTTTCGCACTCAGGCTAGGCAACATCATTAGTGAGACTTTAAGGTCCTGTTTTGCAGATCTTCGTAAGCGACTTCTAGATATAAGTAGTTATTGATCGAGTTCTGCTTTGAATATCAGGCTTCAATAAATCCCGTGCTTGCTGGTTTATGGTTCTTCCGTGGATTTCGAACTGCTGGTCTCCAGCATCCTTATGCACGAACATCAGAGTCCTTATAACGACGGCGGACAGCTAGTTTATGTTCATGTCTTCACTATTGCCAAGCTATCAGCTACCGTGCAATTTATGTGCATCTTGATTGTAAACAGACAAAACACCAGCTGAGGCGACAACACAATTGCTCAATGAATTCGTTCACAATGTAACTCACTAATTTCCTCCACTATCTCGGCTGAAGAGATAGGAATAGCAACTGCACTGTCACTTGGACTTGAAAATGCCAAGGTTGTATCTTTATAGATAACTTTCTTTTGATCTCCGAGCTGAGCAATATTGCTGCAGTCATGTCGTCACCACTCGGGGTATCATCGTCAGTGCCTCACTGCTTAGTGTGCAACTTCCTTGAGTGCTTCTTCGGCTCTTGATCGATGGGCAAGTGACGTTTGAAGCTGATCACTTCGCTTGATATCACATGACGTTCGGTGGTTCGTTGTTCGACCGCCGCCGCCACCTGCCTTATATTGCGAGTTCCGATGGGTCCAAGTTGTTTCTTTCTCAGTGGTTGGTAAACCGAGTCCATATCTATGCACAGATAGTTAACCACGCTAGAGGAATTTACCTGCTTTATCTGGTTTCTCCCCTCACAAGAATCTCTGTGTTGTTCCAAGCCAACCTATGTCCTTCGTCACCAACATGTGCTGAGACCAGAGGTGACGCGTAATGGTTATCCTAAGCCCGCTTTTTTCTTTTATTCTGTTTCATGCAGGGTTTTCGCAGTATCCTGTAAACGAAAATATTTCTTTCGTGTGCCTTCAACTGATCTTTCGGTTTAGGCTACGTTCACCTAAGGGTATCGCCGAAAGTATGTGGGCAAATATCTGATGACGCGGTTTGAGATATCTGGCCGTTATTTTTGATACGTACTTGACATATGCCCAAGCGATCGTTTTCTTCGTTGTTAGTTTAGACGCGGTAGTTGCAGTCTGCAGTTCATGCGATTTTGCATGAAATTGCACGGGTATCCTTTGAACACTAAATATTGCACACCGAATACTGTTGTATAGAGAAATTAGAAATGAATTCTGTACGAGTCTTTCGAAATATGGTGAAAATCCTCTTGAAAATTGTCAGCCGTGAATACCGTTGTCGTTCTTGTGTAACATTTAAAATACCTGAATCACGATATTGCAGGACTCACAAATGATAGATGTCATTGTAAGTGCGCAATCTTTCTCTGAATCGAACACTGGTAAAACATATATCCACCAACGTTTTTGCGGCTGCACAAAAGTTGGTTCCATTACATGTTCCGACACACCGTTGCAATATTTACCACTCTCCGTCCGAAGCTCAATGAATGGGGAACTCGCTTCACATCCTGCACGACAAGTTTGTATCTTTGTCGGAATATGAGTTATAGCTCTCGTAAGCGTAGAGTTGATTTAAGCAAGGGGAATTCGCCCATATGTAGATTACGGTAAGTCAAAATGAGTTTGACTCACACTAGTTGGTAGGACAAGGTGTAGAGTCCCAGTTTCTCGCACTTCTGTTCATGCCCCAAGCCACGAAAACTCTTGTTGGACTTGGTAGTAATGTGTTGGACGCGTTTGAACTTTTGTGACTCGCCTCGGACAATAAGAAAGTAGGCGTGCGAACCGTACTCTAACATTGGTCTAATGATGGAAGAGAATAGATGAACGGCAACCTCGTCAGACTATGTGCCAAAGCTACTTTTGAGCGCCCAAATCATGCGCAGTCCGTTACGATATAGCCTGTTAGTGTTATCCACTGACTTCGCATCATAGCTTGAGAGTACACCTAGTTACTTCAGCTAGGGTGTGGGATATAGTGATTATCCGTCAAGGCTGTAGGCTCGGCCCTCAGCACCCTTCACCAGGCTCATAAATATAGACTTGGCTGGGTTGACCGGGAGATGAACTTCTGCAGACCATGTAGGTTGGCAGTTGATATCATGCTGAAGTATGCCACGGTCCTCGAGAGCGACAATTTCTCTTCAGATCTTGATCTCATCTGTAAACAAGGCACATGGCGATCGGAGAAGCTAAGATAGATCGTTGATGTGGATCAGGATCAGAGCTGGCTGCAGCACAGTGCCCCAGTACAGTGCGTATTTGGTGCAGGAAGAGCGAGTAAACCGCTCAGCACCAATATATCACGCAACAGGCACCGATGGATGGGGAAGGTGTTGTGCATGCCAGCAAATCGACTTCTGTGAAGTGCATCGTTTGCACGTCGGGGTGCAGCTGGAA